GATTAGGTCATAATTGTTATCAGTATCAAATTATTGCAACAAATTGGCTTGCAAATGGAAATTTAGTAGGCCTTCTAAAAATCATACAAAAAGAGTTTGCAAAACATTACTTTGTAAAAAGTGTAATGCAGAACATTATTTTACCATTTAGGTAGTAGAACCCTTTAGGCCATGGAAAACAGAAGTTGCTGCTTAATCTTGCCCTAGACCTCTTTCCTCCTAAATCTAAACAATAGTGAAATGTACTCTTGTGTAGCCTAAGCACAGCCCATACCTACAATGCAAATGGATAAGAAAACTTGCAATACAATGGCTTTAGATAATGATGTTTATACCAGAAACCGGGACAACTGGTCTGGTTTGTGTGATCCCTGACCTGTAATGATGGGGTGCTCAGATGATTGTGCTTATACTTTTGCCCCAAAAATGCCTCCCTAGTCTCAGAAACACAATCTCTAACAACCACTTCCCAGCCCAAGGACACTGTGCCTAGCAGTATTCATGCATGGGCCTCAGCAAGACCCTTCTCTGGCTGCTCAGGCCCCAGCCCTCAGATCATATCTCTGGCAACCTCCAAATTCCTTAGCAAGACCCTTATCTGGCTGCTGAGGCCACAGCCCTCAGATCATATCTCTGGAATCCTCCATTGTGAGAAAGTTTGCAGAGCATTATATCTAAACAGAGGGAGAGGGATGTCCTTGACCAGCCCAAAAAAAACACCTCTTCCTCTTGAAAGAGTTCAAAGATCCATCCCCCTCCCTGTCCTGTATACTCCCTATATAAACCCTAGCTCAACCCCTGATGGGGGCTGCTTGATGTGGATGTGAATACCTCTGGCAGCCACGCACTAATATAATAAAGTCCACAATTTAAAATTAGCCTAGGTCTAACTTGCTAAATTTCTAGGTATAACAAAAGTATTTCCCTTTCTTACAAAAAGCTTACAGTTTATCCTGATGTTAGAAGGAATAATCACTAAACTTTCATGAAGTAAATTAGTTGGAAACTTTAAATTTTGGAATTTATCAAAACCAAGTTAATGTAAAATGTCTTTTAAGTATCACAAATTCCCAAAGTGCCATAAAACCAAATTCTCAATAATCATAAATTCCTAAGTACCAAAAAGTGTTTACCTTGGGAAATTTTAGGTTTTTTTTTCCCCAAGGCAAGAGCGCACCCAATTAAGTTAGCCCTATCACAACAACAAAGTTTACCAGGCATTTGAAAATTTACTCAGTAGGAATTCCACTATAGAAGACTTGCACAGAGTTGATAAGAAATTATGATTAGATAGTTCCAAAAACCCTTGTCTTATTTAACAATCTCACAATCTGACAGTACAATTCTTGATCTAACAACATCTAGATTATAAGAGAAATTGCTTTTCTAACAACACAGGTGATAACAATTGTTAACCAAATTACACAATACAAGAGAATTTAGAAATACAATACCATAAACCAACTGTCATCTATTTAAACTTTAAAATTAAAACCAATTAATTACCCCTCTGATGACTTTACTTTAATCAGAGACCCAAATTGCCTTACACAGAGAATTATTCATCTCATCGCCATTGACATAAACTTCATATCAAAGAAAATCCACATAAAGTTCACAAATATAAAGCAATTATATTTAACTTAAAACTTTCAGAGAGCATTTGTTTTATACTAAACATTGTGCCAAGCACCTTTACAATCATGTGATCTTCATAATATCCCTGGGGATGAATTCCAATACCATCTTCTTACTGAACGTTAAACTAAAGTATGTAGAACTTTCTTGGGGCCATATAGTTAATACATTTCTTAATTCCAAATAACAATATGTATTCTTAAAATTATACAAATATACATTTCTGAGTTCAATACCCTTGTCCCTTTATAAAGGAATATTATCCACAAATTCATACGTATTTCTTCAATATTTCCGTTCCCCATTCATGTCCACATTTTCTTGCAAAAGTTTTACAAACAGTTTGGAATCACCTATTGTAATCAGGTCAGTTTAAAATGTGCTGGGCCAGTATTCTAACTACTTCCTTCTTTGGCCCAGGAAGAAAAAGCAAGCCTAAGGAATTTAAATCGATGCTGACAAAGTAAGATCAGCTTTCCTTCCAGTTGGACAACTCTGGAGTTTGATAATTAATTGAACAGTAATAATCATAAGTCACAATAACCTATACCTTTATCATAGCCAATATCCATATTAGATTTAATAGAACCCACCCACGGATCTAGCCTGAAAGGTGGGTGGACATAATTCCCTCCATCTCTCCATAACTTTATCTATTGATTTTTTTTTAGACTAAAACAAAGAATTCTGTTTTCTCATCCTTTCACTTAAAACAGACGACTTCCTCACGCCCTCTCAACTTACCCAAACCATCCATAGTTGTCCCCAGACTACACAGCTTTCTTTCTGCATCTCTGAGGGGAGACAACTGAATAGGGCTTCCCCTCTTCCCCCTCTCTTTTCCAACCACTCTTACAACTTACTACAGTTCACTCAGTACACAATTTTTTTTTCTTCACTGTTCTCTAGTTTCTTTCAATTTACTTTATTAACATTCAAATTACGAAAAGCTATTTAACATAGCAGCACAAAAGTGTGCCAATTTGAAACAATACTAGTGTTTTAAAACTTGAAAAGGCACCTCCCAATCACATGAAATAAAATGAAATAACACATTTCAGATCCTTACATTTTCAATTATATTTAACTTAGTGCCAAACAGTATAATAAATTCTGAACATCATATTTCATTTCCTCGGCAGTCACCAGGCCTAGCCATCCCAACAAGCTGTGGCCCCTCAAGGCAGCCCCCCACAGTTGCCCATAGATTACCTTTGTGTTCTGGTTTCTGCTCAATTTGTAAAGTATTTTTCTTTCTCTCATCCACCCACTTCTCTAAGGCTGCTGTTACCAGGGAGAAAGGGGGGAGAAACAAAGTGGCTGCCTGACTACAAAAGTTCAGATTACACACACAAATGCTCAATCATACCACACACACAAAGACACAAAGATGGAAATTAGACATATAACAAATCGCTGTAAAATCCTTAAATCATATCTCACTATTTTCTTTTATCTTTCCCTTTATATTTTGGTGGTTCATTCCAATTCTAAAGTTTATTCCCTAAAGGACTACTTTCTTGCTATACCTTCTTTCTGCTCCATGGTACAGGATTCCACTCTTTACCCATGTTAAAATTTATCTGAAAATCTGTCCCCAGATTCTCTCAGGTCAAGGACCTAACGAATTTTTCAGGACCTAACCCTAGGCCCTCTCGGGTAATTTATTCAGGACCTCACCTTAGGCCCTTTCAGGACCTATCCTAGGCCCTCGGGACCTCACCTTAGGCCCTCTCAGAGGGATCGCTCCCTTCCCTCAGTCACCTGAGTGCTCAACTGTCTGGGTCTCTCCAGGGATAGTCCCTCCCAAACACCCACATCCTCGGGCTATACATATATAACTTTAGTGACTGGTCTCTCCATTGGCCGGGGCTTTTCCACCTGTACAACTACTGGAGCTTTTCCCTGTCTTATTTCTGTTTCTCCAAGTTCCCCTCCCCCGGTCATCTGCCCAGCCGGGAGGGAGATCAATCCCAAAGTCTGAGAGCCATCAAGAAAGCGGTTGGTGGCCACCTGCTCTCAGCCCTTAGAGAGAGTATCGACTCCTAGAAGGCTTACTTCCCGGCCATTGCACCAAACTGTGTGGGATGCCACTCAAATTAAAAAATAAAACAAAACACAGAGGTGTACAAGTAGAAACGAAAGTTAATTTATTATAGCTATAATTATTATTATTTCAAATCTCGAGATTTGGGTGTCCCTCCATCAATCCATCAGTAAGCTCTGACGATGGGAGACGGCCCACAGAGGTAGAAATCAGCTTATATAACCCTGAAGACTCAGTTCCCCCTCCCTCACAGCTGTCCATTAACTCAGCTCACAATCTCACAAGCCAAACTCTAACATAGGACAAAGGACATAGTATACATCTCTATATTTCTCAGTTTGTTGAGATAATGTCAAAGAAGCAATTAAAAGAAATGTGCACTTAGGAAGATAATTTACAATTGTTTTGGAAGGTTTTAGGGATTGAACAGACAATGTTGGGAACAGGAAGACATCTAAGTAAAATCCTGTCAAAGGGAGATAAGGGGACTTGAAGAATTTTGGGTTTCCCGGGACTGGTAGAAGAAAGGGAGCCAAAAAGGAAAACACATCTGGGTAAGGTCAAAGGCCAGAGCTTTAACAACTAGACAAATTCCAACCACTAATATCTGGCACCAGGAAAAGAAAAAAAAAGATGATCTTACAGAAATCTATACTTAACCCTATCCCACCTCCTGAACCCAGTACCAGATCCAGGATAGTCTTGTCCCAAATCTTAATTACACTGAGAAGTCTTCACAATGGTATTCTATTCATACCTGAAGAGGATATACTTGAAAGGAAAGGCTTATTTTTTATCCTTATGGATCTAACTGTCTCCTCAGGTTAGTGCTACAGAGAAGACATGATTATTCTTGCTTCACAGATCAGGGATCTGAGGTACACACCAATATATCCAGTCAAATCAAGATGTTCATTTATCAAGTTAGAGGAATATAATTTTGATAATGTGATTGGTCTGATTGAAAAGAAACTTCATATTCCCTCTAATTGCATTGTCATTATCCTCTGATATGTGCATGAATATATAAAAATATGTGGTTTCTCTATTAGTATTAATATATGCGAGCCACTCCAGCCCTTTCCCTGGAGCCTGGCGGACCCAGTACATGTAACAGCTGCTGAAGGTGAATCCAGAAGGTTTGCAGGAGAGGCAAAGAGATCCTCCAGGGTGTCTCACATCACCCTCAGACTCTACCAGCTGAACATCACAATAGACACCTGCAAATAAAGAGTCATTTAAGGCAATAGGCACACAAATACACCACTTCAAAGAGTGTATCCTTGGTCAAAAAACAAAGAAAAGACAAAACTACCTTGTAAAAGAGTCAGAACGAAAATTCTATTCAGTCCAAAACCCATTGTTCAGGCTGTATAGTGTTAGTCCTTGGGAGAGAATGGCCCACACAGAAGCAAAGCTCCTCTCCCAGAGCTGCAGATACAGGTTTTTGCTGGTTTTCATCCCTAGAGGGAGGAGCCCAATTTGCATGTCTTTCTCTGGTTAGTGTGAGGAAGAGCAACTGTCTCCCAGTGGGATGAGTCCCCTCCCTGAGCTGCAGAGAAAAGTTTTCCCCAGAATTGGTTCTAAAACGCTGTGGAATGTTAGTGACACTGAGAATCTAAATATCATTGGTAAGGTATCAGTGTCTATCCTCTGTCACTCCAATTTACTCTCAATAAGAAAGGAATGCTCATTAGGCTTTTCTAAGTTGCTGTTATTTTCCCCAGTGAATTCTTGATAGTATAAATTTCTGGGGTTTAATTTTTTTCCTATAATTGGAGGAAATTATTGTACTCCTTAACAGTAAATGGATTCTACTTCATTCAAAGCAGCCCCTGTCAATAAAGTGACTCCCCCACACTTCTTCCACAGTATTTAGAAAGACAGATTCTATTATATTCTCTTCTCATTTATCATAACCTCCCCCTTAACTTCCTTTGAGCAAATTGTGCCCTAATGAGGCATGAGTTTGTCTTCTACATTGTCAGAGCATTTTGGACTGAGCTTCCAAATGGACTTACCATTCTCTTTATTCAGAGCTCCCATGTCTGCTGTCACCATGTCTTCAGGTAATATATTATCTTTTCTCTACTTTTATCTACTTTCTTTTTATTTTCTACTCAGCAGGAAATGAGGTAGTTAAATGGTCTTATTTCACCGGGGATAAGGGAGTGAAGATGGGAAAGTAAGGGAGGTCCATTAGGACCTTTCAAAAAAACAAATTATTTTCTTATCAGTCACTGGAATTGTGAATTCTCATGTAATGCATAGAATCTGAACTATGTCAATTCAGTATGTTTGTTTTTTCCTTTCTTGGCACAGGACTTGTATTTTTATTTTTCTGTTGCTGCTTCATAATCTTTAGAAAAAAATTAAAACTCCTTACATTATGTTAAATTTTACAAAAAGGACCTTTCCTCTTTTTTATTATCTTTGGGATATTGACCTAGCAGTAGTATTGCTGGATCAAAGGGTATCTTTTGTGGTGGCCAAGAAATGGAAATTGAGGGGATGACCATCAATTGGGGAATGGCTAAACAAGCTATGATATATAATTGTGATGGAATATTGTTGTGCTATAAGAAATGACAAGCACGATGATTTCAGGAAAATCTGAAAGAGTTACTTGAACTGATACAAAGTGAAGTGAGCAGAACTAGAAGAAAGTTGTAATAGCAGTATTGTGTGATGATCAGGTATGATAGACTTAGTTCTGAGCAATACAGTGATTCAAGACATTCCCAAAGGAATCATGATGAAAGGTCATGGTATCCACTTTAAAGAAAATAGTGATCGTGGTAGTACATACTAGGTAGACTCTGTGAAAGGTCAATTCACTATCTCCAGAGATGATGGCAACAGCATGCTATATCTACAGATGACACACCTTAAGGCTGAGGATACAGCTGTGTATTACTGTAGGAGAGACACAGTGAGGAAAAAGAATGTGAGATCAGACAGAAACTGCCCCTACCAGGAGGTGAGACATTAGTGAGGCCAGAAGGAACTATGGAATCTGAATGCAGATCCAAACATACCATTTTCACTTTATTTATTCTTTTTTCCTTCCTCCTGTTTTTTTCCTTTTGTTCTGATTCTTCTTTCATAATATGAATAATGTGAAAATGTTTGACATTACTGTACTTGCATAACCTCTATCAAATTCCTTGCTGGAATCTGAAGGGAGGGAGGGAGAGAAGAAAAATTTGGAACTCAAAATCTTATAAAAATGAATGTTGAAAACTATTTTACATGTAATTGGACTTCAGGTGAGAATTGAAGGAGGTCAAGGGAGCCAGGAGGCATGGATGAGGAGCGAAAGAATTCAAGCCAGTGAAAACACATGTAGTAGAGAGATAGAATCTCTTGTGAAAGGAACAGCGAGGAGGTCAGTGCCATTGGACTGATGAGTATGTAGAAGGGAGTAAGGTAGAATAAGACAGAAAGGAGCCATGCTGTGAAAGGAGTTAAAAACCAAATAGGATTTTATATTTTATCTTGGAGTCACCAGGATTTGGGAAAAATGGTCAGACCTATTTTTTAGGAGGATAATTTTGATAGCTGAGTTTAGTGTGGCCTGGAATGAAGAGAGTAAGGCTGAGCGAGCAACCAACAGGCTAGAATAATGGTCCAGGTGCGAATTGGTAAAGGCTGACCTCAGAGTGGTCACAGTACCTGAGCAGAGAAGGGAGGGTATACTAGATATGTGATAAAAGTAGAATGGATAGGACATAACTACTAATTAAATATGGGGTAGGGGCAGGAGTGAGAGCGAAGCATTAAGAATGGTAGCTAGCTACTGGAAAAGTTGCTTTCTCCTGGGATAGAAGAAAAAACAACAAAAGCCTTAAATAGAAATGGTTCAGATTCACTCTACACTTGTTAGTGGATCTAAACATCTTGTACTTTCTGCATCATTAGCACAATCCCCTTCTGGCCTCACTGATGTCTCACCTCCTGGTAGGGGCAGTTTTTGTCTGGTCTCACATTCCTTTTCCTCACTGTGTGTCTTGCACAGTAATACACGGCTGTATCCTCAGTCTTAAGGGAAGTCATCTGTAGATACAACATGCTGTTGCCATTATCTCTGGAGATGGTGAATCGGCCTTTTATGGAGTCTGCATAGTATGTAGTACCACTAGCAATAATTTGTGCAACCCATTCCAGTCCCTTCCCTGGAGCCTGGCGGAGCCAATGCATGTAGTCGTTGCTGAAAGTAAATCCAGAAGTTTTGCAGGAGAGACTAAGAGAACCCCCAGGCTGTGTCACATCTCCCCCAGACTCCACCAGCTGCACATCACACTGAATACCTGTAACACAGAGACATAGCATTAAAGGCATTAGTGACATTAAATCACCACTTCCCATTGTCCCTCCCTCTCTATAAAACTACCTTGGAAAGTAGTCAGAAGGAAAATCCAGTCCAGTCTAAACTTCATGGTGAGTTTGAAGGTTAGTCCTCTGTGTCTAATGACACAAAGAGCTTGAGCTTGTCTCCTGGAAATACAGGTACTGGTTTGGGGCTGCTTTTCATCCCAGTGGGGAGGGACCCAATTTGCATGTCTTGCTGTATTTAAAAAGAGTAACAACACCTTCTTCCATCCAGTGAGAAGTTTCTTTCCTGAACTTCAGAGAGAAAGTACTCCAAGAGCTGGTTCCAAAGCACTGGGGAATGTTGGTGACACTGAGACACCCAGAGTTGATGGTTTTGACTCTCAACCACCCCATATCACTTCAATAACTCTAAACAGTTGGATCACAGAAGTAGGACTTTCTGTGATCTTAATAAACTTCTAATTAATCTTAGTCCCATTTCTGATTGTCAAAGCTCCTCAAACATCTTCCATTTCCAGTGAACAATAGATTGAATCTCTTTTATGAATCACTTTCTTCTCAGCATCTCTTTTCCTGATCCTTGGCACTCTACTGCTTCCTCAGTCAACTTTTTCTCTTCTTTTACCTAGGATTACATATTACCTAAATTAGTTACCCATAGTCCCAGTTATACTCATGCATTGCCTTGCTAGGAATAGCTCATATTCCTTTTTTAACTCTTCTACATGGAGAAATTGAGTTATGAAAGTCATAGTTCACAATAAGAAAACTGTAAGTCTCTTCCAACCTTCCAGCCTTGTTTCTCAGAGTGACATATCCTATTTGATGTGACAGAGAAATTGTTGTCCTCAGTGACACTGACCTGATAATCTGATTTACAGAGCAAGTGTGGCTCAGATTTGTATGAGATGATCCTCATAGTTCAAGTACCATTCTCATCACCCAGAATATCTAGCTCTACTGCCACCTGCTGAATGTTTGATTGTATACTCAGAAGCATGTTTCTATTCTCACTTCCACATTTTTCTAAGAAGGGAGATTTAAAATTTCAGGGCCCTTATCATTTTAGAGATCTACATCTAAAATTCTTTCCAGGATCATCTTCTTTTTTATTCAAGGACTCAGCTCAGTGGGGTAAAAAAGAAAAAGAAAAATCCAACAATCCTTCTCTTAATCATCATTATAGCTATGGATTCTTCATCATAAAGCGTGGAGTCTGAGCCATATCTACTTGTTTTCTTTCCTCTCTTATTATTCTTACATTTTGTGTGGCTCCTAATTATTCTATTATTTACCAAATTAAGGGTATTCTATAATACAACAGAGTTGCGAACAGAGTTCAATAACTATAGGAGAGAAATTTTAGATGGGCACTCTTCAAGTGCTGAGTCCATAAATCATTGTTTTAGATATACTAGTATAAGAGTCTTAGATATTTAGAACTTTTCCATTTCAGACATAAAATGATCATCCTATGCGTCCTATTTACAGTTGGTAAAGGTTGCAAAACTTGGGTGTGTCTCATTCATTGTTTGTAAAGCAAATTTACATAAATCTTTATATTTTTAACTCCCTTAGTTAACATGAACAATTTTGATCAGCCTGAGAGTATTTGGGGCCATTGCTCATATGAAGAAGGCCACTGATGCCATGTAGGCAAGATCTAGATTAGCCATATTCCTTGGGTTGATATAAAAAAAAAGCATTTCCCAGTTGCATTTTTATCCAGTTTAGGTGCATGCAATGAAGGCTTCCAGTTTGACGCCTCTGGACTCCATACTACAAGACTGATTTCATCTCATGGGTGATAGGGCAGCTGGTGCCATGTTAATTCTTTGTCATAGCTTCACATAAGTTTGTGTTCTGAGATTTTGGGGGCCTGGCATCAGAGCATACAGTTTGTTGAATGGCCAAACACTACTCTACCCATTAGAGGATGAAAGTTCCCTCTATATTGTTTCCCGCTGGCGTCTATCCTCCTCCCTTGACTGGCAACTCTGTGTGGCAATGTCATTCTTTTTTATTAATTTATTTTAAACTTAAATACCAAAAGTTAAATACTCAATAATAAAAATAAAATATATGAACTTAAATACCAAATAAGAAAAGAAAAAAAGCATCACCATATGTGCAGCAGAAAATAAGAAAGGATTCAAAATACACCAAACAATTTACATTTCAAAAAAATCCTATATAATAAATACTATACATTGTGTTCAGAGCTATTCATATTTTCTTTGTTTCCTTGTAAGCTTTCTTTTATTCTCCTCTGTGAACTTTTTACTATATTCTTTTTTTTCCCACTCCTCCCTCTGATCCCACAAGAAGGCTACAATTAAGCCTGGATATATAGTTTCATATGTATACACACACACATGCATATACACACATGTGTATATGCATATGTACCTATTCACATACACATGCATATATTAAAACATACACTTGCACACATGTATACATACATATTCACACACACACATGCATACACTTACACATACATATACCTAGAGATCTATAATCATATATATAGACATATACATTCACATGTATATATGTAACGTGGCAGTGTCATTCTTTAGGAATGATTCTCCTTTTTCTCGTCACACCATAACAATTTCAGTTATTATCATTTTCAGAATATACGAGAAGAATTTTCAAGTAGTTAAGTAGAAAAATCTCAGCTAAACTCTGGTTTAATTTTCGTACTATTCATCTAAAAGAAGAAAAAAGAGTAAGATGATAATATATGACATACAAGAAAAAGGGGAAACAAGGCTTCATCTTATAATCAACATTCAGTTTAATTAGATATAGTTGGCTTTGCCCAGGACCTGCCATGACATCTACCAAGTCCTAGTTCTGGACATAGAATGGGAAAAAGGAAGTACTGCAAGGAAGTAGTGTAAGAAATATGTTGTATTGTGTTTTGCCCACATGTGTTATATTTGCCCTCATGGGTCTGTCTAGATGTGACTCATAACAAGGCACAAGTAGATATCTCTGGAATCTCTTCCCTTTGTGCTTCTTCATGAGAAGCTTTAACTCCTGTCAAGAGAGTGCCCAAGCTCTCAGGTACCAAAAGGGTGTAGCAAGATTGAATTATATCTACTATACCTCCCAAATACTAATAGTCTAAGGAAAATAATGATTTCTAGGTTCAATCTGAATTCATGATTACTATCCCTTAATGAGGAAATAATGACCTAAACTGTGTATACAAGCTTGACTCTATTCTGATAAATTGGAAGTTTTACCAGAAGCACAAATGTTGTTCATTTGTTTCAGCTGTGTCTGAAACAAATTCAGACAGGTCGTCTGGAATGAATTCACTGACTCAAGCATTCTAGAAGTCAAGGTGGCAAAGTTTATTGTTACATTTTTCAGCAGGCATGGATTCTTACAGATCCTGCAACCTTAGAGAGGTACAGTTAAAGTTTATATAGGACAAAATACAATAACACATGTGCCAAATATGCTAACTAGGGGATTCAGGGTGGGATTAGGCAGTGGTTAAGGAGTGGTCAGTTCTTAAAGAAACATGCACTTCTTGTACCTACTGTGCAGGCATTTTACCCAGAGTTCACTGGGAAAAGCCCACAGGGGGGCACATGAAGGTGTGGTTTTAGGCTTGCTACATCACTAAGTCAACCAGAATTCAGGGTAACTGAGAGTTGTCCAGTCTGCCATCAATCAATGTCTTGTTTTACAAGATAGATGTAGGTAGTATACATATATCTTACGTCTAGAATACAGTTAATGAGGAGCCCAGGATGTAGATAATGAGGTAGGGCAGTAGTATAGATAGTCCATTGGGTAAGAATGTCTTTATGACCCAGTACAAAGCCAGTTTAAACTAATAATTCCTTCAGGTGCTGTTTGCAACTGCACCAGGGAAAGAGATAAGGGTCTTATTGGGGCCCAATCATGAGTAATTGCTAAGCACAGAGTCCTTGGGCTGGGAAGAAACTGTCAGGGATAGTGTTTCTGAGGCTAGGGAGAAATTGGGGTCCAAGTACAAGCACCCAAGCACAGCCACCCAAGCACCCCGTCATGAACACTTATACTTCAGAAATCAGCAGACATTGAAAATTAAGGCTTGACTTTAATTGGTTTTCTTAATTGTTTAGACTTAAGAAATGGAGGAAGAAAATGTTAATAGTGTAGATTGAACAAAAGTGTATCATTCATATATTTTTCTCCCTTGAGACCTGCTTGTTAAAAAACTTACCAGCAGACTTTGGCTTCCAGGATCCAAGATAGCAGAGTAAAAAGGTAGTCCTTCTAACTTTCCCCTATCAACCTCTGAAAGCCCAGAAAATATTTCCCCAGAAACTTATCACAAGAATAATGAACTATGACCAGGTAGGATTTATACCAGGAATGCAGGGCTGATTCAATATTAGGAAAACCATCAGCATAATTGATCGTATCAATACCAAAACCAACAGAAACCACATGATCATCTCAATAGATGCAGAAAAAGCTTTTCACAAAATACAACACACATTCCTATTAAAAACACTAGAAAGCATAGGTATACACGAAGTCTTCCTTAAAATAATAAATAGCATATATCTAAAACCTTCATCAAGCATTATACACAATGGGGATAAGCCAGAAGCATTTCCAATAAGATGGGGGATGAAACAATGATGTCCGTTATCACCAGTGTTATTCAATATTGTGCTGGAAACATTAGCTTTAGCAATAAGAGAAGAAAAAGAAATCGAAGATATTAGAATAGGCAAAGAAGAAACAAAGCTAGCAGTCTTTGCAGATGACATGATGATATACTTAGAGAATCCTAGAGAATCAAGTAAAATACTACTTGAAATAATAAACAACTTTAGAAAAGTCGCAGGCTTTAAAATAAACGAACATAAATCATAAGCATTTCTATATATATATTACCAAAAAAGCCCAAAAGCAAGAGATAGAAAAAGAAATCCCATTTAAACTTACTGTAGACATTATAAAATATTTAAGAGTCTACCTCCTGAAACAAACCCAGGAACTATATGAACACAATTACAAAACACTTTTCACACAAATAAAGTCAGATCTAAATAATTGAAAAAACATCAATTGCTCATGGGTAGGCTGT